AACACATACAACACAGGCGGCTTTCTGGAAGGTCATGCAGGTGTCACCATCTTTGTTGGATGGCAGCTCACTTCTAGACGAGCTACTCCATGGAGGGGCATCGTTGGAGCTGAGCCTCCCCTCCCTTCCTCCGGGCACATGAAGCAGCAGGTCATTCTCAACTGGGAATGAGCCCCACCTTCATTTCATGTTAGTCCTGACTGAGGCACTTCCACTGGCTTTCAGTTGCCCACAAGGTCAAGTGCAGACTTCGTGGCTCAGCATACATCTCATGTTCCCTTTATGTGCAGCCACATGAGCTTTTGACGATTCTGGAATGGACCATGCCCTTTAGTACTTTGGGGCTTTGCATGAACAATTCCCTTGTCAGGCATCAGACTGCCTGACACACCTCAACCTGCCTTCAAGACCCAGCTCGAATAGCTCATCCAAACTCAGTCTTCTCCCAGGGATTGGATTTCTGGGTTTTACTGCTGTGTTTGCTACACACACACACGCACGCACACACACACACACACACACACACGCATCATTGTATCCCCAAAGCCTAACCCAGCCTGGAGATCTTCAGAACTGATACTCAATAAATGTACGTTGAATGAATGAATGAAAACACCAGAAAGATGAAGCAAATTCTCCAAGGGAATGAGTGTTTCTCTCTCATATCAGATATAGTGGAATCTGGGAAACTCATGGTAAGCAATTGAGTCTAAGCAGGCATTAGAAGATTTTATACAGGTGAACTGTGGCATGAAATGAACATATAAATGCACACTTGATACACCTAGAGCCATCTGACATGATGTGATTTCAGAAATGTGTTCTAGAATGTGGTCTGTACCAAAAAACTTCCTAATAAGTCCTGGGAACTTTATTCTGATTTCTTCCAGAAGTTTTTAGTCTTTTCCTCAACTCCTAAATTAAGTCTGAACACCCAGTTGAGTTTGGAACGAGTCTCAAGTCATCACAAACATAAGTTATTTCTTGGGTTGCATGAAAGATCTGGTAAGTTGTTTTATTTTATGTATTTATTATTTTTTTTGTGAGCAAGATCAGCCCTGAGCTAACATCTGCCAATCCTCCTCTTTTTGCTGAGGAATACTGGCCCTGGGCCAACATCCGTGCCCATGTTCCTCCACTTTATATGGGACGCTGCCACAGCATGGCCTGACAAGCGGTACATCGGTGCTCGCCTGGGATCCGAACCGGCGAACCCGGGGCCGCCACGGTGGAGCGCGCGCACTTAACCGCTTGCGCCACTGGGCCGGCCCCTGGTAAGTTGTTTTCTTTTCATTTTTTAAAGAAAATTAAATTGAGTTGAATTTTTCATTGACAGTGAAATATATACTAAGCTGTGGATTAATACCTTCATAAAAATTTATGTAAACAAAGTGCTGCCTGTCTTATTTATGTTGAAGTCTGTAAAGTCTGCAGTGAAAAGGGAAAAGTACTTTCCTGGAATATATTTGTATTTGTCACAAGCTGCATCTTGAGGAAATTGGCAGGCATTTGAAGTGGAATAATTCCTTAGTGTTCTGTTTAGTTTGGATTTCTTTGATTCAGGGGTGGCTTAAAACCAGAATCAAGAATACCTGCTTTTAACAAGCATCTCACATTTTCTCTTGCTTTGTGTATAATAAGTGTTCAATAAATGTTGGTTGAATTGAATCATCTTGTTCATTCTTTCTTGGGGCCATTGGGGTTACTCAGTCTATTCTTAAATATGGAAGAATTATGAAAGGAAAGAATCTCTAAACTAATCTCTCTACCAACAGTTTCTCTCCCCCTCCAGCTCCCTATACAAAAAACTGCCAGGTCCGGCACTCTAAAATGATTCTTGCATTCCTTCCTCAGTTTGCAAAAGTCTATGGAGTGAATCAAAGACTCCTGGTCCACCCCCATCACCCCACTCTTTCTCTATTCTCCAGGACCCCTCTTTTCTTACATACTGGTTGCAGACCCCTCTGGACACTCTAGGTCTGTGCTTTCTTCCTGGGCTTCTCCCCACCTGAATGCCTTCCCCTGTCCTGTTTGCCTGCGGAAGTCCTCTTTCATCCAGCGGGGCATAGTTTAGGGCCCTCACCCTCTAGGAAGATCCCCCACTGCCTCAGCCCTCTGCTCAAGTGCCCTGTGCCTGTCTGCAATGTATTTGCAAACAGAAGAGAGTGATAGATCTTCATATATGCTCTTCGTACCCTTTACAAATGTGTGAAAACATTCAGCTGCTGTAAAATCTTTTGAGGAAAATAAGATCCAATTAGCGTCGACTCCTATGTCGGGAAAGCTGAGGGTTTCTAAGGAATTCCTTTCCCTCATTCAACAACTATTTTTTGAGCACCTGCTCTGTGCCAGGCATTGGAGAAAAAAGCAGACAAAAAGACCTGCCTTCAGAATGCTGAAGCTCTAGTCCAGCGGGATGTTTGTGACCCTCTGAGCTGTGCCAGCGACCATGGGTCAAAGCTGAGGAGGAGACATGGAGGGAGGGAACAGGGAAGATGAAAGTGCAGCTTGTGGGTGGGCTGAAGTCAGGGAGTGGGGGAGATGTGCTGGGAGGTCAGTGGCTGATGCCGCCCTAGGGAGTTGGCTTTGCTATTTTTAAGGCTGACAATGAAACGGAAACTCAAAATAAGAGGAGTGGGGCATGGAACTAGCTGGAGGGAACAGAGTGGGGAGCCAAAGGCCCTTGAGCAATCAGGATGCGGGCAGGATGGGGTAACAGATTTTCATTTTCAAATGACTCCTAGCTAGAGCTTCCTCAACTGGGTCATCACTCCCTGAACCTTGTCTCTGAGCCGGGGCAGGAGCCAGGACCCTCACCAACAGCACGCCCACCACCCACCAGGTGCCTAGACCCTCTGCCCTCACCCAGAGCCCCTTCACCACTCACCAGGTGCCCCCAACTCCCTCCAGGCACCCCTCGCCCCCACTAGCCTTCCCTCCTCAATGAGTGCTGTCTTGTAAACCGCCTGATGCTGCTCTTCTTGTCTATGGTCTTCTGCTCTAAGTAGGCGGGAGGCTGTAGGGGCAGCTTGCTCAGACTATTGCCAGATGACCCTTCCTGCAGAGGGGTGGGCTGAAGAAGGGTCCTCCACTTGACACCAACCTGGGGATGCCTGGATTTATAATTGGCCATCGAATTATAAGCAGCAACCTGGATGGAAACCCACATCCCTGACACCCCTCTCACATCCAGGACAGGGCCTGGTAAATGGTGGGGGTCTGATAAATGTCAAGGAACTCATTAAGTGAGGAGGAAGAGACTGTTGACACTTCCCAGCATGCCAGGCCGTGGGGCCTTGTACAACTCAGGAGCTGGCACAAACCCAAGACTCATGAGCCAATCCAAACCTGACTGAGGGGGGAGGTACGGTGTGCTAAGGGCAGCCTTGCCAGTGTGGGGTCTCCCAGGACCACTGCAGGCTCCTCACAGACCTCTGGAGGGCTGGCCTCAGGTTAGGGCTGGGCCTGCTTAGGGCTTATGGAGACTCTGGTCTGATGGGGACGGCTGGGGTGGACTTGAGGTTGAGCCTGAGTCTGCTCAGGACCCGCTGGAGGTCAGGGCCACCAGGAGTCTGCTGGCAGCCTGCTGCGGCTGGGGCCAAGGCCCCTTCCTGGAAAGGCTGTCAGGAGCGCTGTGTTTCCTCACTTTGAGGGCAGGACCCACTTGGGAGCCTGCCCTGGTTTGGGGCCGGCCAGGGGTTGGGGGCCCGGCTGGGGTTTGGGGCCTGCCCAGGGTCGGCCTGCGGGGTTGCGGCCTGCCCGGGAGTTGAGGCCTGCCTGGAGGTCGGGGCCCGGGGCGTGGGGCCTGCCGGGGTCGGGGCCCGC